GCTTCAGTGGTGCAATCCTCCCACCTCAGTGTCCCCCAAGTAGGTGGGACTACAGGCACATACCACCATACCTGGCTAAATATTTTTAGCTTTTTGTAGAGATAGGGTTTTGCCATGTTACCCAAGCTGGTCTTGAACTCCTGGGCTCAAGAGATCCTTCTCCCTTTGCTTCTGCCTCCCAAAATGCTGGGATTGTAAGCGTGAGCAATAGCTCCTGACCCCGAAATTGTTTAGACATTATTTGCAAGGCCTGTTTATGCTTCTGAGTTCTCTCTAAGGCATCTCTCTGAGTTGAGCCACTTTATTAAAATTTATTTGAATAAATTAAGAAGTCAAAGGTTGAATATAGAAAAATTTGCAGTGATTACAATGGGTCGTATCTTTCTGTTATTTTTAATGACATACTTCTGTAGAACATAGTATATTTTTACAGATTCTCAAAAGTTTTATTTCCAATTTTAGTGTTTCATTAGCTAGCACATTTTTAACAAAACATTATACTTCTTATCTGTTAAAAAAACTGGTTCATATGTGATGTATACATGTACTCAGATATCTATTGTACTTATTTCGATTCTCCATGTTAGGAATTGATGAACAACTAGACAGCTTGCTCAAAATTAGAGCAACTAAAACTCTTGATTTCTACACTTAGAATTAGCAAGAAAACATATTAACATTGTAAACTGTATTATGTACTTCTTGCATAAATTGTACTCATCACTTGTTTTCTATTTCACTTGTTTTACTAAGTTTTATAGAGTAAAATCATGTTTTGCCATTCATATTTATTCTTTAGTAAAGTATCTAAACCTATCTTGTTTTAACCCTGCGGTTCTCACACAAGTTACACTGATCAGAATCACCTGCAAAACTTGTTCAATCTGAGATGGCCGGGTATCCACTTCCAGAGTTTCTGAACCTGCCAATTTTTGGTGGAGCTTAATAATTTGTATTTCTTTTCCTTCTTTCTTTCTTTTTTTTTTTTTTAAAGATGGAATTTCACTCTTGTTGCCCAGACTGGAGTGCAATGGTACGATCTCGGCTCACTGCAACCTCCACCTTGTGGGTTCAAGCAATTCTCCTGCCTCAGCCTCCCAAGTAGCTGGGATTATAGGCATGCGCCACCATGCCTGGCCAATTTTTGTATTTTTAGTAGAGACGGGAATTCTCCATGTTGGTCAGGTTGGTCTCAAACTCCCGACCTCAGGTGATCCACCCACCTTGGCCTCCCAAAGTGCTGGGATTACAGGCGTGAGCCACCACGCCCAGCCAATAATTTGTGTTTCTAACAAGTTTTCAGTTGATGGTGGTGCTGTCAGTATGAGGACCATATTTTGAAAACTACTGCTTTCACTATCTTAACTCATCTGTTCATCTTTATAAATATAAAATGAAATAAGACCAGTTATTTGAAAGCTGAAGTGTTCAAAATATATTCTAGTATCTGTTTCTTTATGATGAACAGTAATTGTAGTTCCTTCAAATTGTAATAAAAGGTCTACTTATTAAACCCTATTTTTTCTCTTTTGCCTTGTTCTCATTCATACCGATTTTTTAGGCTTAAAGTTTAAGAAAATTGTAGGTTATTAACATAATAAACCCACATGGTATTACCAAAATATACTGATATTTTGATTGTTTAAACAATGATACCTTTATTGGTAAAGAAATTTTCTTCTGTAGAGAAGGAGAGAGAAAGTCATGCCAGGAACTATGCCTAGTACTGAGAATACAAACGACTAAACATTTTTTCTTTCTTGGCTTAATCTACCTTTTCACTTTCATTAGTGTGAGAACTTGAAGCTGAGCCCTTGGCGGGAATTTACTTTGCTTCTGTGGATAAGTAATTGCTTTCTTTCTGGATCTTTTTAAATGATAGCAATTTACAGTTTTATAATCTTACCAACAGCATATTGTTAAGGAATTTTTAGATTATTCTTAGTATTAATAGCTCACATTGGGTATTTCCCAATGTTTTTCTTGTCTCCTCACTCTCTATTTGGAAACTTAATGCTGCTTGCATCCTTTATAAAGGAATATAAATGTCTGTGTTTTTATTTCTCTAATTTGGGCCTCTAAAAGCTTAGATTCATTTCCATGAATCAAGACCCTGGCATGCAAATCTCTAATTTTCTTGTACTTTTTGCAGTTTGGGTTTCTCTTCTTTCTGACCCTCAACTGTTTTAGCTCTAAATTTTCCATTTTTCTCAAGATTAATTTCTTTCACTTCTGATATCTCTGTGTATATAAATATATGAAATTTTTTAATGAACATTTTTTATATTTTTGGGAGGCCCTGAATTCCAGAATTTTTTAATAATTTTATTGCAGGAGCTTCATTAAATCAGTTTTGCTTAAGATTACAGTTGTAGAATTAATATGTTTTGCTGTCAAAGTGAATGCTCTGCGTAGTGTGATTATTTAAATCAATAAAAATTATGTGGTTGATATAAATAATCATAATTGCTTTCACATTAATTTGAACCTGTAATTGGTCAAAGGACTACTGCAAAGTTGTTCAGAAAGAGAGTAAATATGGACAGTTATTTTTTATTATGGTGTTGGTCCTCTTTCAAGCAAAATGTAATGGAAACCAGAATGCTTATATACTTCCTGCAGAACATACCATGACATTAGAAATACACAGTAAAAGATCTCTAACCCTGCACTAGTTATATTCATTCATCCAGTTACTTCTGGTGGAAAAAATCTGGGCAATTTTCAATGTATTCTTTATTTTTGAAAAATGATATATATAAATTGCCAAATTCTTTGAGTTACTTTCTCCTTCACCTTGATAACAAAGCCCTTCATGTTGTTGGTCCATTTCAACTTTGAGTACAGCTCCCTCTCTCTCCCACCAGTTGCTAGTTTGTTAATATGAGAGGAGCCTTTTGTGAGAAGTGAAGGGTGATAAACTAAATGAAGAGTTTACTCACAAGAGAAACTGTTATTTGGAGGGGTTTCTGTAATCGTATTTAAATACCATTCAAAACCTAACAGAGTTTGGTTGAGTAGTTATAAAATGTATACTGTGGGATTATCTGAAAGGGATATCTAACACACAGTTGTTTATCTTTCTTCATTTCTGAGAATTGTGAGGTGTGATAAAAGGAAGATCATTGTAGGTATGAATAAATACAAAGAAGGAAATGAAAGGACTTTTGTTTTTAATGGGACCAAGTTAGTGATTAGGATTTCTGTTAGATCAAGAAACTAAAAAAGCGGTGAACTGTCTTGTTGCTGCATAAGTTTAAAAAAGAAGAAAAATGAAACATCAGAATTATATTTCTTACCTGGGAACATTTGTTATTGACCTGTTGAGAAACTGTAAACCTACCTCTTGTCTTGAATTTTAGGATGTGAAATAGGTTTCTGTGATTCATGTTAAAATAATTCATTTACACTAAGTGGTGAACTACTGGCAAATTTCTTCAGATGAGTGAACCCAATTAGGAGAAATACAGAATAATGACAGGAAAACATATGTTACAGAAGACTGTGACACTGTACCATTTACATTATTTATGTTCTTGAAAATTACAGTATATGGTATATTTCTAAAAAAACAATGCTATCCTGTATTATAAAGTAATCATGATAAAAGTTACTTATAATTTGTTTAATATTTAAGTCTTGTTTGAAGTTCATTGTAGTATACTTTGAATTATAAAATTTATCTATTTAATCCTGTAGAAGTTTTCAGGCTTTGCTGCTGTTCAAAGAGAAAGTCTAGTTTTGAGTTGAAAGGGCACCAAGGTATACGACTGTTCCTACCCATCTTTAACATGATTCACCTTCTACTGCCCTTAGTTAGTTGTGCTAGAAACTGGGATGCTTTTTCAAAATTCTTTATAGTGCTATTTTATAGTTGTTATTTTATGCATTGTAGAATATGTGGTATTCCAACTGTTAAATAAATGTTGTTATAATGTTCTTGTTCTGCTTGCTTTGCCTTCTTAATGTATGTGCTATCAGAAAATACAATAAAAACCCTGAAAACATTTCACTCATTAGGCTATAATCAAATCAAATTATAAAAGAAATCGTTCTTGCCTTTACGAAGGTTATAAAAAGAACTTTTGGACAAATTCATAGAACTTACATATCATTTTATCTGAAATTCTAACCTATTTCTAATGTTCTTGGTGAATTAATGACAATGCAAAAATAAGAAAATAATTCCTTATAACAATAATTAGAACATTCTAGGCATCATGTTAGTACAACATTCTTTCTAATGTTATATTTTAGGGAGTACCGGTGTTGAACCAAGGTACATAGTCATCTCATTAATTATATAGGCACATTGATCTGTGAGTAGAAAGAGTAATAATAATGCTTAGACATTACATACGTGCCAAAGCATTTTTCTAAATCCTTTAAATGCACTTTATCATTTAGGTGGACCATAGCATATGAGGTGAACACTACCAGCTTAGTTTCTGGTATTCCAGAAAGTATGTACAATAAAGAACTTCACAACCAACTGGATTTCGAGGATACAATTAAAATCCTGGCTCCTTATTTGTTTTGTGTTGTCAAAAACTTCCTGCTGAGAAATTCAGGTTTTGACTCATACATTTCTGTGTACTTATAGGACCATTTTTAAAAATTGTAATTTTAACTCTTAAGTATGATGTCTAATATCCTGGTAAGATATTTGTTGTTGCTGTTATTCTTGTTGTTGTTCAATTCATGTTGAATACGTCAAAAATTAAAATTAAAATGTGTAACAGAATAATAGGAAACTTGGCCATTTTTTTTTTTTTTTACTTCTAGTTGAAAGTTAGTGTGACCCATACCACTGTATTACAACATAAAGAAAACAAAACTCTTATAAAGTATTTAATAATGTAGAGTAACTTAACATTACTTGAATTTTTGTTTCATGTTTCTAGTTACTTGAAGAAAATGCGAAAAACTTCTCTGTTATATTTAAGTAAAAATAATCAAATAAATTATGTTACACAAGTTTGATATATTCTGTCTTTCAGGTGCAACAATCGAACACAGTGTATAGTAGTTACTGGGTCAGATGTGTTTCCTGATCCATGTCCTGGAACATACAAATACCTTGAAGTCCAGTATGAGTGTGTCCCTTACAGTAAGTATGCAGTTTATATTGTTTTACACTTTCCCCAGCATTACTCGTTGATGCTGAAAGACTACACATGTGAAAGAAGCATATGTTTATGGCCTACACAACCATTATGCATGCAGAGCACTAACAGACTTGGGCCTCCAATTAGCTTCATGAAGTGTGGAAGGAAGCCATAGTGTGATGCTGGCCAAGTGTCTGTCTGTGTTCTTAAGTGTTTGGCTTTTAAGGCTAGTGTTTTTCCAGAAAACAAACTTGAATTAGCTATTCAATACGGCTGATAGAAATCTGTACTTTTGCCCAATACCAGTTGCTGACAAATTGGTTTGGCTCACAGTTTTCTAAAGAAGGAATTGACTTCGGTTTTAATCGTGAGCTACTTGAATGGCTACCTGCTGTTGTAGTAACTTTAGTGCCGAGTAAAAGCTACCATTGCAGTAACTGAGGCAAGTGCTTTACTTTTTGTTCTGTTGTCTTTAAGGGAGCATTTCTTTACGGGATTCAGTGATGAAATCTTAATGCTTAATAAAATAGTTAGATATAACATAACCTTGCACATGTTTCTATTTTTAATTTTTTAGCATCATTGTTAAGATCCTACAGACAGATATTTAAAATTCAATTGAAAAGTTTGTAGGTAGGCTTCGGCCAGTAGTCAAATTTTGTGTAGTTTTCCTTCTAATCTCAGAATTCGTACTTCAAAATTGTATTCTTTACTTTCAATTTTAAAAATCTTAGCATTTTAGGCAACTTAAAGTTTGAATATTACCTGATTTTCATAAGCTAGTTTGATAGTATTGTTGTCTTCTTTGCTTTTTAAATTATAGAAAAGATAGAGATGTCATTTAGTCGTTAGTTCATAGGCATTTGAATTATGTTTATCAGCAATTTTGCTGATTTGAGACAGTTTTTGTACACTTTCCTCCTTTAATAAAAAAGGATTTGCCAAATAATGAAATTGCTCTTTACAGAACCTCAAAAGCTAGGTCATTAATTCTGACAGATGTATATGTTCAAGCTATCAATATTTCTAAAACCAAAGGGCCAAATTCTGATAGATCTGCTATGTCCGGTATGGTAGTAACACATTCTGACACATGCTGTGAAGGCACTCTCCATCTTTTCTCTGACACAGTTTTGACAAATTGGCTTTTTGTGTTATCAGTTAAAGGCCAAACACAGATTATCTTTTCATCCCTGCTCTGTGTTCCTGTGTTACTGTGAAATGGATGCTTTTTATGTTTTCAGTATTTTCTATACCATTTGTAGGATTGGAAGCCTACTGAGTACACTGATCTTTATATCATTTCTCCTGTGTAGTGTTGGTGGCTTACGTAATCATTCTCCTGTGCCACTAGAGGAACATTGTATTCTTTTGACCTAACCAAAATTTTGTTCCATAAAGTCACTTTCACTTGAATTTAGCATGATTTCTGTCCTCAAATTAGAGAAGAAATACAGCATCCATTCCCAAACAGTGGAATCAGTCAGAGCTGCCAAGAATTGTCTTTCTGGAGCCAGTTCCTGTAACCTAGTCTATAGACCAAGAACAGTGTTAAGCAAATATTATTTTCAGATTCATAAGTTATTTCTTGTGCTGTTTAAGAAAGGAAAATGTGGATATCTTCTGGAACATCTAACTTGCAAAATTTTACTTTTTCAGTTCTCCAGAAGTATTGTATATTGTGCACTAAACTTGCAAATAGCTATACTCAGAGAAGTATTTGTTTCTTTTAGATTCTGTCTTTTAATTTTAAAAAATCAGTAATTAATTTGCTGTTACCTTTCTAGATGTTTGCACGAGGCAAAAATAAGTCTATGGTTTTTTTTATTTTAATCCTTGCTAAAGAATAAAAGTAATTATAATTCCTATATACTCTACAGTAGTGACACTCTATAAATTGCACGGTTTCAACTAATATTAAAATATAATGCAAAGAGTCTTAAGTTATTCTAATCATATGTAGGACAGTGTCTTACCTCTGTTTCTCATTTTCTTCAACTTTTGTTTCTTTGTGCCTCTGTCCATTGTATTCATTCCTTATACTTTCTTTTTTTTTTTTTTTTTTTGAGACGGAGTCTTGCTCTGTAGCCCAGGCTGGAGTGCAGTGGCCGGATCTCAGCTCACTGCAAGCTCCGCCTCCTGGGTTTACGCCGTTCTCCTGCCTCAGCCTCCCGAGTAGCTGGGACTACAGGCGCCCGCCACCTCGCCGGGCTAGTTTTTTTATATTTTTTAGTAGAGACGGGGTTTCACCGTGTTAGCCAGGATGGTCTCGATTTCCTGACCTCGTGATCCACCCATCTTGGCCTCCCAAAGTGCTGGGATTACAGGCTTGAGCCACCGCGCCCGGCCCTTATACTTTCTTTTATTGTGAACCTTTAACTTTCACTTTCTCCTTGATTTAGTAGTGTTTTTATATTTTATATTTGCATACCTCTTTTACACGTTACTTAGTTGATAAAATTGTCACCATCAGATAACATTTATTATGTATTTTTTACCACTTGGCTTTATACCAATTTCTATTCACAGTAAATCCTCCAGGATCTTATATATTCCAATTAAGTCCTATTATAAAACAATTTCAGAAAGTTTTCATGACTTCTGAAATTTTTAAAAGAAATTTGCTCAACAGAGAACATTAGAAATGCTGTTACTTTAGTATGTTTATAAACGGCACATGCATTATATGTGATGCTTGTACTTGTCCAGTTAATATCCATGTCAAAAGTGTATGTATACGGGGTATCCATTATTGCCAGACTATTAGGAATTGCGTATATTTATATTTGAAAGAAGTCATAAAGATCTTGGAGGATAAAGGAGAGTAATCAGATCAGAATTTTGCATCCTACAGGCAGGATTTGGTTTTCATTTTTGTACCTCTTATTTCAAAGTATCATTGTAAAAATACTGTAATATTAACCACAAGTTTTATTTAATATGAAAAATAGCCATTCTTATTGATTAAATTATTATTAATGAATAAACATGTAAGATTATTCAGTGAAATCGTGTGTCACTTCACATACAGAGTATGTCGGCTGTGTAGTTAGTGTGGGTTAATTTCTTGTCTTGCATATCCATGTAGTCCTCCACTCATGTTGGTGGTTCATATACTTGTATGTTTGATCTGTAGAAAAGTAAGTGTATTGTTAATTCATGCAGTCTCTTAAGACAAGTTGTGGTATATTTTTGGCATGTGATAGAGAATGCTGATTATATTAATTTTATTGTATTTTTGTACTCTTCTACTGATAGAATTTTGGCTGCTTTGACAGATGTCTGGCATTTTCATAAAAATAATAATGTTTTTTGTTGTAAAGAGCCATATATTCCTTGTATGATTCATTAATCATCAAAGGTTTATAATATTTTTAATCTTTACTTTTGAGTGTTACTTACTTTTCAACAGAATTATAACACATATACAATATATAATTTATATTTATTTTCCTTTAATATGTGATATCAAATCTCATGTAAATAAAGACTTTGATATTCTGTTCACTAACTACATTGTAATTTTAGTTTATCAAATAGTAAAATTTAGCCATTTTCTTTTTTTCTTTTTTTTTTTTTTTTTGAGACGGAGTCTCGCTCTGTCGCCCAGGCTGGGGTACAGTGGCCGGATCTCAGCTCACTGCAAGCTCTGCCTCCTGGGTTCATGCCATTCTCCTGCCTCAGCCTCCCAAGTAGCTGGGACTACAGGCGCCCACCACCTCGCCCGGCTAGTTTTTTGTACTTTTTAGTAGAGACGGGGTTTCACCGGATTAGCCAGGATGGTCTCCATCTCCTGACCTCGTGATCCACCCGTCTCGGCCTCCCAAAGTGCTGGGATTACAGGCTTGAGCCACCGCACCTGGCCTAATTTAGCCATTTTCAATGAATGGAAAACAAAATATACTTTCTACATCTTTTATTGAACTTGTTTTAAGTTCTTTTTAAAATAAACATTTTAAAATGTATTATTTCCATCCTTTACATTTAATTTATTTCAGTAAAATTATCCTTTCCTTAGGGGAAAAAAGCGTACAGCTGTATATAAATGTAGTTTGAGTAGTCACAATGCTAATGATTTCTCTTATCCTCATTTTCTCACCACGCCCTTCCATTATTGATTCTAAGCAGGTATAATATTGCTCTTCGCTGAGGAGTAATTTTAGGACTAGTGGTTTATACAAAAGTGTTGTTTTCAAGACAGTAATGTTGAATTTCTTGTTTTTCAGATGTAGTCAGAATTACACATTACAGAGCAAGTATGTTTCCTGAAAGTGGTTACATAGACCAAGTTGATTGGGGAAAGTTGTAGCTTAATGTGGAAAGTTGTTGTATGCCATTCTTATGGCAAAAATGTCCGTGTGATGTTTTTTTACTGTAGGTGTTTCAGAAGGTCAACATTTAGTCTTAATGAATTATTGTAATTTTTTATAATGAATCAAACTAAGATCTTAATAAAATGTACACTACTCTGTCTGAGTACATTTTGGAAATGCAATATTAGCACATCCTAATGCATTTTAACAACAGAAAAGGGAGAAACAGACACCATGATGTCTCAACATTTTATGAATTTCAGGCAACATACTTCAGACCTATATACAATGTAAAGTATTTTATGGCTTGTAAGTATTAGAATACTGTTTACCAACAAGGATCTTACATAGCCCCCTTCCTAACTGCATAATCCATTTCTTGAAACTGTAGTTTTGTTTTGTTTTTTTCTCATATAACTCTACTAATCAGGTTTGTTTTATGAAAGCATTTACTTTTTATAAGGTCTGTGGAGTCAAGGTATTTGTTTTGAATGCTCGGTATGGTTGTTGTTGCATGCTAGCTTGCTTTCTGTGTAAATTTATGATGGTAGAATTGTCATAATAATCTAACCATAATTCTTTCTTCCTTTTTCTCCTTGCCTACTGTGCTTGCTTTTCCCTTGTATGTATTTTGCTTGCTTTTTTTATAGACTTAGTATTACAAGTTTGAGATATATAATATAGAAAATTTAATCAGAATTTTATAATAAAATATATGTGTAAACCTAAGTAAATATACTAGTTCTTAGTGGGGAAGAAAGGTATTACCTTACCCTACTCTTCAAAATCTCTACTGGAGATGGGGGGATATTTATATATTCCTAAAGAGGAGGCTTTTTTAATGGTTAAAATTTATCTAGGAATAGAAAATAATAGAAAAACAATTGAAACATACTGGATGCATAATTATATATTTCTTCTTAGTAAATATCTATGAAAAACATGTAACCACATCAGAATTAAATTTGATCTAAACTCCAAAATTAAGTTGTGATTTTTATAAATGTATTTTTCTATTGTTATGCTTATCTAAAGTTAGTTTAATAATTGAGTTCACATAAAATAAATGGGGATGATGTAACTATGCATGCATTTATGTCTATAGCATACATATAGAAAGTAAAACTTGGTAAGAATGCTGAGTGACTTTGGAAAGGCAAGAGTATGTATACCATACATTAGTGAAGACTTTCATTATTTATTCAGGTACACTAAGTGAAACAACATGCCAACATATTTGTATTGCCTCCTTAATCTCCTAAAATGATTGATCTATGTTCTTTCATGTAACTTTAGAATCTTTCTCCTGCTAGGTTTTCCTGTTGTGTGTTTTTCTTTATCCAAAGTAGTACAACTCTTATTCTTCCTGTATTTAGCATCTGTTACGAATTCAGTCTTAGACTAATAGTCAATTTATTTTAATCTTTTTTCTTTTTTCCTTGCACCTTTTTTATTTTTCTTCCGATGCTTAAAATAGAAGTGGAGCAAAAAGGTAAATAATGTATACAGTCTGAACCCCAGCTCCCTGTTATGTGCCTTATGGATGTTAACCTCCTCCCTCCCCTCTCCCCACAACACTCCTGTATTAAAATAATCAGCAGGATCTCATAAATGCCACCTCATAAGGAAGTCAACTGTTTACAATGAAATTGTATGACTGCTAAATCTGGTGATGGGGTAAAAATTTTGAAGTCGGCGAGGGGGAGCTGCCCTTTCTCTGTTTCTTTTTTACCCTTTATCTCTTTTTCTGACACCCTTGGATATTTTCTTATAATTAAAGTGTCATCTTGCCTGGCTTCCAGAACCCTCTCCATAGCATGCCATGGTTACAGGGTCTCCTGATTGTTTCATCACTGCTTTTCTTGTATTTACTTTTCTGTGCTCCTAATTGCATTTTCCGAATATTTATGTTCCTCAAATTGAAGCACCTTTGTTTTCAGTCTAACTTATGTAAAAGTTCTAAATAAGTCTTCACATTGGATTTTCTGTTTTATTTGCCTTATTTCATAGTTTTGCTTTTGGGGGCTCATAGGTGAAGTAGGAGGTTGAAGGGTATAATGTTTGGAATAAAATAAAATATATACTGTTGTGCACAAGCTCAGACTTTTAAAACATAGGTTAACAGATTATAAAATGAAAACATAGCAAAAAATTAAATTGTCAGACCACTTACGAATGATCTTAAACTTAGGCTTTTGCTAGTGAAAATAAACATAAACTCCAGTTACTTTGTACCCTGATGCACTTATTATGCTAACTTTAGAAAATAAGGGTAGTATTTGTATTAAGTATAAATTTTGGTAAAATTGAATGCTAATAATATGAATTTTTCCCTTTTGATTTGTGACCACTGAAACGTGTTTACCTGTGTAATTTTTTAACTTGGTTTAATTTTTGTCTTTTCTCTGTAACTGTTAGTTTTTGTGTGTCCTGGGACCTTGAAAGCAATTGTGGACTCACCATGTATATATGAAGCTGAACAAAAGGCAGGTGCTTGGTGCAAGGACCCTCTTCAGGCTGCAGATAAAATTTATTTCATGCCCTGGACTCCCTATCGTACCGATACTTTAATAGAATATGCTTCTTTAGAAGATTTCCAAAATAGTCGCCAAACAACAACGTATAAACTTCCAAATCGAGTAGATGGTACTGGATTTGTGGTATATGATGGTGCTGTCTTCTTTAACAAAGAAAGAACGAGGAATATTGTGAAATTTGACTTGAGGACTAGAATTAAAAGTGGCGAGGCCATAATTAACTATGCCAACTACCATGATACCTCCCCATACAGGTGGGGAGGAAAGACTGATATCGACCTAGCAGTTGATGAAAATGGCTTGTGGGTCATTTATGCCACTGAACAGAACAATGGAATGATAGTTATTAGCCAGCTGAATCCATACACTCTTCGATTCGAAGCAACGTGGGAGACTGTATACGACAAACGTGCCGCATCAAATGCTTTTATGATATGTGGAGTCCTCTATGTGGTTAGGTCAGTTTATCAAGACAATGAAAGTGAAACAGGCAAGAACGCAATTGATTACATTTATAATACCCGATTAAACCGAGGAGAATATGTAGATGTTCCCTTCCCCAACCAGTATCAGTATATTGCTGCAGTGGATTACAATCCAAGAGATAACCAACTTTACGTGTGGAACAATAACTTCATTTTACGGTATTCTTTGGAGTTTGGTCCACCTGATCCTGCCCAAGGTAAGAATGTTTACTTGCTAATGCTTATGTCATTTTGTGAATAGCATTTTTTTTAAAAAAAAAAGACTTCTTAATTTCTTCTTCCTATTTTCTTCACCTTTTCATAGTTAAAGCACAAAGGACATTGTTGTGGTACATTTTAGCTTTATTATGGTTCGTTTTCTTTTTCTCAATTTCTTCATTTTAATGTTGGCTTCAAGAAATTGTGGCATTATTGATCAGTTTAGTTTTCATTGCTAAAAATATTATACCAACCAGAAATCTGTTAGCAATCTTTTTTTGTTTGGTTGTTTTCCCCTACTTGACTGCTGAATTGATTACAATCTATGTGCAGACCTTCTAACTTCTTGGCGCCAGTGGTTAAAGGAAACGTGTGTTAGGAAGTCCCAGGAGAATGGCTGGGCTTGATGTACAATGCCAGGTATATGCGTTCTGAAGTTTTGGTGTCTGTTCTCTGAGTAGAAGAGGGAGCCATCCAATATTTTTCTAGATTATCGTGTAAAATTACATGTTTTTATTTTCTGATAAATTAGTGACAGTTTTAAGTCAATATTTCTGTGACTTTAACAATCACATGAACTAAGCTTTAAATGATCCCAAGTGATGACTTACGATGACAGATATGCTAGATTGTGTGATTTGTATTCTCTTTATGCAGGATCATTACTTTAGAAAGTAATGCTCAATTTTTGGAAATATACTTTGGTTTATTAAGTGAGTTCAATTTTGTGGGAAATAATTTTTGATGATAAATGAATATTTTATTAAAACAAGATTATCTCATACTCATGATGAAAGAATAACTTGTTAATGTATTATTATAGAACTTGCACTGTTTATAAGTCTTTTATTTGAACAGTGTGTGTTTAAGATCTGAATTAATATCCTAATTTACTGAGTTAATCTTGAAATTATTGCATTATTTCAAAATTTTAGGAACTAGAAAGTTCTTTGGAGTGATTAAATTAATGTCTTCAATAGGGTGGGGCAGACACTAATATCTTTTTTCTTCTACTAAAGCAATGCAAGTACACACAATTAAATATGTTCATAACAAACACCCCTACATATTTTAAGATATGCTGTTAATCAGTTTTAAATATTGTCATACGGTCAGGACCTCAAAAGCAGAAGTCACAGCTTTTTGTCACGGAATTTCTAGTTTAAGTCATTGTAGGATACCAAAATATGTGAGTTTTGTTCATATAATAACAATAATGATCCATTGACTTAGTGTATAGTCCCTTTTCCCCTAAATCAGGTTATGTTTGTATTTTTTGGCTTATAGTTATAGCAGTAATGTTCATTGTTAAATTTATAACAATGAAATCTTCTTTTAGGACATTGATAGTTTTATTTGATAGTATCTTGGAATCATTTATTTAAAAATGTATACATATGTTTGCTCATGAGGCAGCAGTTTGGTTTGTTTCGTCTATTTCAATTGTTTTTCCAAAAGCTGCTACTACAGTACTGCTTTTTTATCCTATAGGTTTGTCAAAAGGCAAACTTATATTGGCATTGGCTAAAATTATATTGATCCTCATGTTAACCTTTTTGTAGCCTGTATTAGTCTCATAGTTGTTAGATTTGTCTTGGGTAGCAGTAAATTTTTTGTCATCCTCAGGAAAAAAAGAAAGAAAAATATTTTACAAATTGCAAATTCATAATCAGGCAATAACTCGAAGAACTGTGAATAAAGTTGAGTATAATTCAGTTCAACAAATAAAAACATTACACATCTACTTGCCACAAAGTACTTCAGTGAATACAAAGACGGTTAGTAATATCATCCTCCACGTGTCGTATATTCTAGTAAATAATTTGATCCATTTCAGATGAAAAGTCTTTGATAGTTTAGATACTTTTGGAAAGAGCAGTTAACAGGCTTAAAAATTAGAAGCTTTGGCAGATGTAGCAACTGTATGTTCCTACAACTATGTTTTGTCATCCAAAATAGCTATTCTTAAATAGTCCCAGAACATGAAAATTCATATTGACCCCTTATTCAGCCCTTAGTGATGAAAGCATTATCTGACCTAAATTTCTCTCACTGCTGTTTGACCCATATTCATTCTCTCTCTCTCTCTCTCTCTCTTTTTCTCTCCCCTTGTAATTTATATTATGCTTTTAGAGACTCCCGTCTCTTTCACCCAAGATGTGTGCTACCTATGTGCATGTAGGTGGGGTCTTGCAGAACTGTTCTGGCCCACAAATTTAGGTCAAACCAATAAGCCACTGTCCGCTTTTCAGAAACAAGATCCAAGAAACCGATAGAACAGAGCAATCAGAGAAATGAGGTCTTTTGCCTGTCATAAAGCAGTGATTGACTTATTTTGCTGAAATTCATAGTTCAAGTTATCTGTACTGGATTTGCTATCACGTATATGGCCAAGGCATAAATTGTGCTGTAAAATTATCCATTCGTTTTTTTTCGTTATCCATACCATTTTTCATTGTGGACTGTTTAATAATATATTAGCTTCAATACTTTTTCCCATTTATAAATCCAAGCCTTTTCATTCCTAAAAGCACACACATACAATTTTTGTGCTCTGATTTTTTTTTTTTTTTTTTGGTGAATTTTGAGCTTGATGTGATCCCTGCGTAATTCATTTGCTCCACTCCCCTAAACGAGGTCTGGTTTTCCTCTTTCGCCTTCTCCCTCTCTGGAATGGCCTTAGAAAAAACCCTTTCCAGTCCTGTTTTAACTCTTTTTCATTTCTTAATCTGGATTGCTTTATATTTACTTAATCTATCTGCACATTTGAGATCCCAAATATTATAAAGAAAATGATGTGTTTTTACTTGGCTTTTGGCAGTTCCTCAACATTTGTGTTAGACTAATTAATGAGGTGATATACTTCTGTAATACCAGGAAAAATTTTTTATCAAGAGAGCCAGTTTTGTTTATACATAGCATAGAATACATACTTCCGGAAATACCTTTTCACTGATAAAGAATGCTGTGTAAAAGATGATCAGTGTTTTTAGACAGTGAACAGGGACAAGTTGAATAGGTGCTCATTTTTGCTTTACCAAGCTGCAGACTCACTCTAGAGTTCATTTCATGAACAATGGGTGAGGGTGACTTCTTGGACCTCAGTGAGGAGAACATTATACTTGGCATAAATGGCTATTGTCTTCAAACCCTTTCATGTAGGAAAACCCTGGTAATAAATAGAAGTTCTTAGTACATAACCAGAGTAAATTGAACCATTCTGTATGTGTTAGTTAAAATCTTCATGGGTACTTACTAAGCATGTTTATTAACATCATTTCTTAAGTATTTTGTTTCTACTCACGTGATAAATGGTAGGTAGAATCCTAAGTCAGCTGATCTGAGTACATGATATGACATCAGGATAAATAGAGCTGTATAAAAAGGGTTTGGATTAGAGTTATAATTCTATTGTGAGTTGTGTTTTCTATTATTATTTATAGGATATTCTTGAGTTTTGAACCTTTTGCTGTGTTTCATTATGGACCTTCTCATTGTTTGTTATTCTAGTCTTATATTTTCTTTCCAAATTGTTATTCTTTTAGAGATTTACACACAACACCATGTCAGTTAAATATTCCCAGATAACTGCAAGGTTACTTGTTGGATGCCATATTTTTCTGGAGTCTATGAAAATCTTTAGGAAAGTAAGATCATAGCGTTTAAGAGTATGGGACAGTGACCTTAAACAAATTACTTAACTTCATCGTTCAGTTTCCTTATCTGTAAAAGGAAGATAATTATAATGCCTGCTTCATGGAGTTGTGGTAAGGATATAATAAAATGATCTGATTATCCATGAATGGTGATTGGCATAGCACCTGGCACATAAATACTAAGTCAACATATGCTTTTATCATTACCAGATGCCCTATTGGGGCCATTTCCACCTGTGGAAATAAATAATAATTTTTAGAAATATATCTGCATTTCTTGCCTTCACATGAGAAAAAAAACGTTGCTTTTCTTCTAGTATTGCTAAACTTAAACCTTCCAAAATACCAGAAATTCTGTGTGTCCCTCTAAAAGATTTCGTTTTGTCACTTAAGCTTTACGATCATATTTCTTTTCATGATATCCCAGTATTTTACTCATTTATCTTTGAAGAATAAGTTGATTCCCTTTAATCTATTTTGGTGATCAAAAGGTAAAAAGGTGGCTGGGCACAGTCGCTCACGCCTGTAATCCCAGCACTTTGGGAGGCCGAGGCAGGCGGATCATGAGGTCAGGAGATCGAGACCATCCTGGCCAATATGGTGAAACCCCGTCTCTATGAAAAATACAAAAATTAGCTGGGTGTGGTGATGAGTACTTGTAATCCCAGCTACTCGGGAGGCTGAGGCAGGAGAATGGCGTGAACCCACGAGGCGGAGGTTGCAGTGAGCCGAGATCACACCACTGCACTCCAGCCTGGAGCAAGACTCTGTCTCAAAAAAAACCAAACAAACAAAAGGGTGAAAAGGTATAAAAATAAATGATCAAAAAAACAATGGAAACATGGCTGTAGAATGTTGCATGAAATTTTGCACTTTTAATTGAGGTCTTTTTATTGTCTGTCTTGACTCGGTTATTATGAATCTCGACTAATGTTTAGCTAACAAATCACTAATTGTAGTATTAATACATATTTCAGTGATTAAATGTGTACTAATTAGTACAGTGTTCAGGGATATATCAGAGAGTGTAGCACGCAAGCATTTTGCTCTGCCCCCTTCTTTTTTTTGTTCTGATTCCTGACTCCCCTTTAAGACTTGATTCAGCAGCAGTCATTTGACACTTCTGCAAAAGATTGTGATGCTTTTGACAAATGTTAATTGAGAAAGCACTGAAAGCCTGGCTGCATTGTAATCAAAAGAAAATTACAGAGGTTTAACAAGATGTCAAGCAAGTGCTTTACAGAAAAGATAGGCAGGTTTGAATAGGTTTCTGCAGCAGCTGGCTAGACATGATGTTTGACTAATGTACATAGTCATCTCTCATATGGTCAATAAATTATGCCCTGGAAATAAAACACATGCTTTAGAAGTTTCTCTTGAGATAGAGGGGGGGAAAGGAATAAAACATGTATAGTGTACTTATTGATAACAAGAAGTATGTAACTACTAAAGAACTAGAAACATATCACACTACTTTTTCGTCATATACTCTCAATAGTATCAGAATTATGTAAAGAAAGATTGATGGACCAGAGCTTAAAATAGTAAACATATCAGTGATAATATGAACATGTTTTCTAATAAATTCTAATATCATAGCTTATTATCATGTATAGATAAAGTATAAAAATAAGTTGATATTTTTTAAGATGATTTGAAAACATAGCTATTTTTCATTTGCTCTACAACAATTTAAATTTAAGGCATCTTATATGTAAGGTTTTAAGTGCCAGTAATCTGTAAATGTTGATACAACTTTTGTGTGATTTCCTTCAACAATTTTTAAGTGGTAGTATTAAATTTTTACTGACAGATTTTTGTTGTTTAAATTAATTCAGTGGTGATTAATAGAGGAAAGGAAATACTGAGCTCCATTATTTCTTAAACTTAGTGGATTTAGCAGTTTGGTAGTAACATTGGAAGGCAAAAATAACCTTTAAAAATAGTGAAAACATTTTTGCTTTTAAATGTGTAATGATAGTTCTTTTATATTCTCTGTTAAGGGTCACTAAGATATGAAGGGTTGTTTTGAATTAGGCATGATTTGATCTGATGCTTTATCTTGGTAAGAGATTCCACCTCTGACTGCAACTAGCTGCTTCTTCATACCTACCTTTTCCAAGGAAACGATGCCGAAGCCTGAGATGTTTCCTTATTAAACAGCGCAAGCATGCCAAGCTTATCTTCTGTTTGGATCTAATCAGGCATGCTGATCATGCTCAGGCAAGAATGGCTGCTGGGTGGAAAGATGTCACAGTATTTATTTTCTTGCAATATGTAAAGTGGGTGACTTTAAATTTTTTTATCGTCCTAATTATATATAATCATCACAGTTTTATTAATGCTTTGATTTTGATTGCTTATAGAATGTGAGTTTATACAATAGAATTTTTCTAAATTAAACTGTCCCACATTTCCTGTTAAACAGTATGTGATGAAATTATACTTAAACTGTATTCTCACATATTTCATTGAGAAATAAATCTAAGAGTCATACAGCAAATGCCATAGTAAAGCCTAAACTACCTACCTTCTCTTAGCCATCAGTATGAATAAATTGGAACATATGAAAAGATGTATTCTTACTCACGAGTGATATTGTCAGTAATTCTCATTTCCTTGGTTTGGAGACAGACGGATGGGTAGGGTTTTGTGTGTGTGCGCATGCACACATTCCACGTGTGCGTGGCTGTATGTGAGCGCAAGTGTGTGTTTGAGATTAATATACTCATCTTTTTTCCATAGTGCCTACCACAGCTGTGACAATAACTTCTTCAGCTGAGCTGTTCAAAACCACAATATCAACCACAAGCACTACTTCACAGAAAGGCCCCATGAGCACAACTGTAGCTGGATCACAGGAAGGAAGCAAAGGGACAAAACCACCTCCAGCAGTTTCTACAACCAAAATTCCACCTGTAACAAATATTTTTCCCCTGCCAGAGAGATTCTGTGAAGCCTTAGACTCCAAGGGGATAAAGTGGCCTCAGACACAAAGGGGGATGATGGTTGAACGACCATGCCCTAAGGGAACAAGAGGTATTTTCTATAAAATACCATGCATACATTTTTCAGTTTAGTAACTAGGTTCTGTATTACAATGAAGTGATTTTATTTGAAGAAAGTGATGTTTACAGTAGCTAACTTTATTTTTGTGCTTTGGTAATATAACATCTATGGACAAAGTTTTTTAAAATGTAGAAGTCATTTAAGATCAGGCACTATAAATTACCTCTCCCTTTCAGAGACCTAGGTCAAGCCTGAGATTTTTGCCCCAAGACTCTAGTGAGTCTTCCTTACAGCTGCCTTTCTCATTATAAGCATCACTTTGGATGAATCCCAAGAAAATGAAGGGTGTTTTGTTTGTTTGCTGTAAATATATGATATTTCTATGCTGACTTCATATTTACCATTTATAATCTGCATTATACCCTACTTTTTGTCAGTTATTGTCAAATACTTGCATTAGAGTTTATTCAAAATTTAACACGCAGAGCAGGATCATCATAGCTGATTTCCCGAATGCATGCAGAAAAATGGTTTCAATTTCACTGTTGTTTTCTACATCTGTTGTAGGAACTGCCTCGTATCTCTGCATGGTTTCCACTGGAACATGGAACCCTAAGGGCCCCGATCTTAGCAACTGTACCTCACACTGGGTGAATCAGCTGGCTCAGAAGGTTGGTTGGAACCTTTTAATATGACACATTTGTGATTTAGGGCATTAACTTCTAACATAAATAATTTAGCTTTGTGTGTTAAAACCAGGTTTATTGCTCTTTGTTCAGTATAAAAGTAAAAAAAAAAAAATTATGCATAGTTTTGTCTGTAAACTGTTGACTGAAAGTTACATATGTTTGGGGGTATCCTGTTCTCTTTGTTAAGGTTTTTAGTGAGTACATGCTTGTTAATTTCATTCATATTTAGTTCTGTTTCTTTTGATGTTCATAAGACAAACTGCATTGGCCTATTAAATCAAATAGGGATCATTAAGTTGGCAACTGAATCCGCAGAATGCAAGCAGATGTTTATATCACACATGATTATGGTAGAATGAGTAAACTACTTTAAAAGGCATTAGTAACTTTAATATTACAGTGTAATGCAATGCCATTTTATTTTCTCCTCCGTCTACCTTTATGACGAATAAACATCAGATAATAACCCTCAGTATAATGCTGATTACATACTGATTTAAATTCTGGATCATTGGAATAAATAAGACTTTAAAATAACAATTTTAAATGGTTGCACTGAAATGAGAGAAATGGCTGAAATTTTTGAGAAAGGATTTTTTTTTTCTTTTTTTTTTAAATGCCTGGTTCAGAATTGTATGTGTGTGTGTTGATGATCTAAGAGCCTTAAAACTTCTAAGATAAAGTTATCGGTTTTAATTAGTTGGAGAATTTAACATTTGTCGATTTTTTTCACCACAATAAAGATACTCAAGAAGAACTAGAAGCTGTAAACAGAACAAAAATTTAAATGAGGTAATACAAATTGTCATTTCAGATCAGAAGTGGAGAAAATGCTGCTAGTCTTGCCAATGAACTGGCAAAACATACCAAAGGGCCAGTGTTTGCTGGGGATGTAAGTTCTTCAGTGAGATTGATGGAGCAGTTGGTGGATATCCTTGATGCGCAGCTGCAGGAACTGAAACCTAGTGAAAAAGATTCAGCGGGACGGAGTTATAACAAGGTGGGGAGAACTCTTCTGTTATTTTGAATTAGACACCTGGTATGGCAGCTCTTGTCTTACAGCAGTTGAGAGCCAAATCTTTGGTCCTGGGGCATATATGTAGAGGCAAAATTTCTAATTTGGTTCATTTTTCCAAGGAAGAGTTACAGTTGAGAAAAGAGCAATGTGTCATGCCCTCCCAAAAAAGTGTAAATGATGTTAATTACCTGATAGAGATCTTAGTTGGTGCCAAATTTTATCCATCTGATTGTGGTCAATACTGTCAGTTTATAATGCATTATCTGCACTTGGAGAGATTACATGTTATACAGTCGATATACTTTGTATGTTAATACATGGAACTCTTACAGTTTGCAGCAAAATTGTTACACATATAGGAATATTAGCCACTGAAATATTTCTTTCAATGGCAGCTTTTGGAAGAAGGACAAGTTGCCGTCTCCAGGAATATATTGTTCTCAGTGCCATTAATTTTTCCTATTATGACAAAAGTTGGATTGCTACTTTTCATCACACTATAAGTGTTTATATTAGGTTCATAGGAACCCAAAATCTATGCCTAATGTGGTTCTACCTGGTTAAAAAATTGACTTTTTTTTTTTACTGCAGTATATATTTTGTCTCTTTTTGTCAACATATTTTAGATTAGTATACATAATAAAATAGAATAAAACACTGTAAATAAGCAGTTTTGGTAGTCAGTGCAGACTCAGACTCCAGAGGACTACTGCATATAAACTTCAACCTCTGGAACACCAGCTTAATTTTTGAGGATTTCTTCTTTCCTCATTTTCAGCAGATAAAAATCTAACCTCTGATTTTCTTTTCTTTTACTTAAAAGCTCCAAAAACGAGAGAAGACATGCAGGGCTTACCTTAAGGTATCTCTCCTGTGCTGTCACCCTGCTTTCTCCCTTCTTCAGCTACCTGCCACGCTTTATCATCTTGCTGCATGATCCAATGTATTTCAGTCTTTGATAATTATATAATGTGCCCCATATCAGCTGTACAAATGTTGGCTTTTCACAGGTATATTACTCTCAGAATAAGCAAATGATTTACTTTTAATGATTTCTGCTGTTTTTCCATTCATCCAAAAGTACACGAATTTTAATGAAATATCCTCTTAATTGGAAAGTAATTATGTAGTCTCTTTGTTTCCTGTTGTCATCTCTGTGGATTAAAAAACAACTTGAGTAAAACAGCTATGATATATTCTCGGCAGTTTATCATATCAAAGACTGTATAGTCATAATGTATGTGCATGAAAAAGTCACTGCTTTCTTATCTTTGTGGTATACTCTTAAATAAAATAGGCTTTATTCTGAAATTTTTAGGAGTCAGTTCTAGAATCAAGTTGATATGGGGATGGGTTCCTAAAAATGAAACATAAATAATTTGACTGTGATATCTGTATATGTTACATACTGTTTTTTATCAAGCTAATAGGAACAGAAAGTCACTGTTGAGCTCAGAATCCCTGTCCACTCCAGCCGGGTTTTCTCCCTGGTATATCCAAGTAATAGGAAACATGCTGAGGCTAACAGTGGAATTATGCCATAGTGGTTCTGTGTGATAGATCAAAATAATAATACCAACTTGTATTTTGTTTTGTTCTGTGAATTTTAGAAGTTCCTTTTGGGGAAATAGTTATTTTCTAACCTTACTCTTCAGGGGACCGTAACAGTGGTAAATCAAACCTTGAAGAACGAATCCATATATTGTGACAGTAAAACAAAATAACTTTTGTACTTTCTTAGACTAGAGATTATTAAAAAGCCATGACTTCACTGATTTTGGTTGTCAAGGTCTAGAAAAAAATGACGTCTCACTAGTTAGTATTAGACATTTTTTTTTTTTTTTTTGAGACAGAGTCTTGCTCTGTCGCCCAGGCTGGAGTGCAGTGGCACAATCTCAGCTCACTGCAAGCTCCGCTCCGCCTCCCAGGCTCACGCCATTCTCCTGCCTCAGCTTCCCAAGTAGCTGGGACTACAGGCGCACGCCACCACGCCCGGCTAATTTTTTGTAATTTTAGTAGAGACGGGGTTTCACCATGTTAGCCAGGATGGTCTCGAACTCCTGACCTCGTGATCCACCCGCCTCGGCCTCCCAAAGTGCTGGGATTACAGACGTGAGCCACCGCGCCCGGCCAGTATTAGACATTGTTGAACCTGAGAACTTTACAAGAAAAGGTGTAGTAGGAAAGTCTGTTTTTAGGTAATAATGGTCTGAAAGTCCCCTTTTAGCCTGTTTAATAGGGGCAGAGAAATAACTGCTGAAATCTATAGAATTTTTTAAACTTCGGTGTTCAGTTCACCTTTAAGGTATTAGTGTATGAAATGTAATAATTGGTATGTTGCCCAGGACATATATCTCAGTTGGAAAAGAATAGCTTTTTTTTTTTCCTTTGGCAGAAAGAGACTACTTCAGGAATATGATTAGGCTAATGATCATTTTGATCCCACTAGACAAGTACAAATAGTAATAAATAAGGAGTGTTTCAAATTAATAAAAGCATGCCATTAGCAAGTTATGTGTACATGGAGTAAATTTCAGCATGACCTTAATTTCTGACCAGTGTCATTTTCAGTATGTCTCAAGTGAGCTTCTCTGTTCAGATAAGACTAATAAAACTCTTTAAATTACAAATCAGAAGCTGACTTACACTATGCAAATGAGGCGAGTTCCCACTTTGTGACAGAGGATTCATTTGTGACTTAGATTAGAGAGAGGCTCCAGTCTGTATTTCTTGGTGACTAATGAATCTGGCCTCCGCAGACCAATTTCTGTTACACTCTAGTTAATGGCTGCAGCAGTATCAGTGTGAGTATTTTGACTATTCTATCTCCCATTAGAGGGAGAAAAAAAAGCCTTTAACGCCACTTGGAAGTATCTTCCACCTGCCAGGAAGGTCGTGGTGGCTCACAAGGCAGATAGAACGAGGATATTAAGATGGATTAAGCTAATTAATCTTACTCTGACAGTAGCTTCAAACAACTTTCCCCCCATTCATATAGTACCTCACACTAGCAATTTTTATTGTTTTTCTTTTTGTACAATGTGTGTTCTTTTTCTTCAGTGATTACCAGTATATTAGAACTATGTGTTTATGGGCATAATGACACATTATGACTGGGTGAATGGAATAGAGTAAATAAACTTAGTGATTTCACTTTTCCAAAGCATAATGCGTAGCTACAGAGCGTATTAGTATAAGATCCTGCCTGCAGTTGATTAACTGAGTTATGTTTTATTTAATGTTATTTTGTGTAGCAATAAATTAAACCTACATATGTGAATATTTACAACTTGGGTGTTTTTATGAAGACTTGATTCTACTTTCCTGTTTTCTTTAACTTATCAGTAGAGGCTTTAATTTTGATTCCTTTCTTTATCCCTTTAAAAGCAGATCGTTGATGAATTAAAGTATATGCTCAAGTGTTTTTTAGCTGGACAGAGAATTGGAAGAGTGAAAATGTTCACAGATAATTGATGAACTTTAATGCTACCTTTTTGTTTTGTTTTGTTTTTTTCAAATGATTGTAAGTAGACAGTGTCTATAAGGAATAATTTTGGTTACTATTTTAGTTGAGATTCCAAAAAATAATATAGTTTAATTTTCAAGCATACATATTAATCTACTCCAAAGAGATTAGTATTTTTGGTTTAGAATATTCAAATCTTGAGATTATAAATAGAATGACTTTAGTAGTTTTGACTCTACCTGTAAGAGTAATGTCTCGGATTAAGAGCTGACACAGGTGGTTGTCAACTGTCAGCAACTGAGGTGTGATTAAATAAATAGAAACAATCCACCTTTGTACACTTACTCTTTGTAATCAAATAGCAATCTGTTAATCTTCAGTCAGTCCTGTTTTAAAATGATCCAGGTATATTTTAAAATGGACCAGATATATGTTGTCTAGATGTTCTTCCATCTTGAAGTAAGAGTAAATCATCATGACAGATAAATATTACAATTGTCACTCGTCAGCAACTGAAAATCACTTTGGTTCTAAAAGCAGTCAAAACTAATGATAGTTTTCTAATGGATACAGGCAATTGTTGACACAGTGGACAACCTTCTGAGACCTGAAGCTTTGGAATCATGGAAACATATGAATTCTTCTGAACAAGCACATACTGCAACAATGTTACTCGATACATTGGAAGAAGGAGCTTTTGTCCTAGCTGACAATCTTTTAGAACCAACAAGGGTCTCAATGCCCACAGAAAATATTGGTAAGTGAATCTACTGTCAAGTTTAATTTTGATTTGGAATATTCATATCTAAGAGGATGATGTTTCCATTCCGAATCTATTATTTCCCAGTGCCGTACTTCTTTTTTGTCAAATTATTTTTGTCTGTTAGCAAGAGCAATTATTGTTCACACTTGCTAAAATTAATGCAAAAGCCAAACTCTATCCTGTGTTTTACAAGTTGGTTTTGTGTATGTGTGTGTTTCCAATTGAAAAATCATTAACGAAAAAGTATTAGAGTGCTTAAATACTAGAATGTAGATTTTTTAAGTAATGAAAGTGCTTGCTATGAAACTGTGGCAAATGCTTTACATTTTATATAGTATGTTCCTAATGAATTTAAAGTATTTTATGGAATGCATGCTGTCAGATATTTTAGCACACAGAACTTGAGTCAGATGTTTATATTAAACATAACTGCCTTCAGGTGAAAATGTGGTCAGTGAACTACATCTCCCACAATGCAGAACATCCGTGCTTCATGGATTGCAGAATAGCTGCAGATAGTGTAGCATAATTTAGAATTCAAATGCTACCACTGAGAGGTTGGGATTCACTTGTGAAAAATATTTGAAAGAAATAGAGTAAAATTTTATTAATTTAGGTTTGAACAATTTAGAATTGTTAATTATTCAGTGAGGTTGAATTCAGGTGAAGTTAACAGTATACCTTAGTTAGTGAAGTAAAAAGCTTCCCAAGCATAAATGTTGAAGAACTCAAAAGGGACACAGACTGCATTTCTACCAGAAGCAGTGCTAACTTCATTAGGGCAGCAGATATTGAATGAAGACTTACTATCTGGGATGCCATGTCTTTAATGCCTAATTATGCCTTATTGTGCCTGCCTAAGTCATGGGACTTTATATAAAAAATGCAGATCAAAGGGGTATGTAGAAGAAATGGACATAAATCAAATTGGCACCTATATTTGAATTCAAAACCTTAAATTTATTTTATGTAAGTGAATTTTTAAAAGGAAATGAAATATTTTAAAACTAATTTGTTCTTATTTACTTTGAGGTTTGGGAATGAAGAATCAGTAATTACTGAAGTGGCATATTATGACCTCAATTTGTTTTCTAAATATTCTGAAAATTACTTAAAAAAAAAAAAAACTAAAATTCCCTTGTTATACCTCTTTAATTGTGCAAGAAAATTTGATGGGCCAGGTTCACATCTATGCTCCCATCAGCCTTACATACGTAGAACACACTGTAGTTATAGATCCAAGATATTTTTATCCCACTTTGAGATATATTCTGAACAATTAAATGTCCAGGAATACATTTTTTCTAGTACCTGTGGTTTTCAGAGTTCTAAACCATTATTTTTCACTGGGCACAATGGCTCATGCCTATAATCCCAGCACTTTGGGAGGCCGAGGCAGGCACATTGCTTGAGCTCAGGAGTTCGAGGCCAGCCTGGGCAACATGGTGAAATCCCATCTTTACAAAAAATACACCAAGAAAAAAAAATAGCCGAGCATGGTGGCGCATGCCTGTAGTCCCAGCTGCTTGGGAGGCTGAGGTGGGAGGATCACCTGAAATCCACGGAGGGAGAGGTTGCAGTGAGCTGAGATCATGCCACTGCACTCCACCCTGGATGATAGAGTGAGACTCCAACTCAAAAAATAAATAAAAGTTAATTAAATGAAACTAAAGGATTATTTTTCATATTGATCTTTTTTCATTTTTAATTAAAAAACACTTTGGATTGGGAGGCCGAGGCGGGCGATCACCTGAGGTCAGGAGTTGGAGACCAGCCTCAACATGGAGAAACCCCGTCTCTACTGAAAACACAAAATTTAGCCGGGTGTGGTGGTGCATGCCTGTAATCCCAGCTACTTGGGAGGCTGAGGCAGGAGAATTGCTTGAAGCTGGGAGGCGGAGGTTGCGGTGAGTCGAGGTTATGCTATTGCACTCCTCCAGCCTGGGCAACAAGAGTGAAACTCTGTCTCAAAAAAACAAAAAACAAAAAAAGAAAACACTATGGAGAGATTGGCATCTCTAAAATAATGCCTGGTATTTACTAGTCTAAATGCTGATTATCCAACAATTACCAATATGAAAGTCATTTTACGGCCAGGCACGGTGGCTCATGCCTGCAATCCCAGCACTTTGGGAGGCGGAGGCGGGCAGATCGCCTGAGGTCAGGAGTTCAAGACTAGCCTGGCCAACATGGTGAAATCTCGTCTCTACTAAAAATACAAAAAATCTGGGAGGCTGAGGCAGGTGGATCACCTGAAGTCAGGTGATCCTGACTGCCAGGAGTTCCCAGCCTGCCCAACATAGCGAAAGCCTGTCTCTACTAAATGTACAAAGAGTTAGCCGGGTGTGGTGGGGGGTGCCTGTAATCCCAGCTACTCAGGAGGCTGAGGCAGAAGAATCCCTTGAACCTGGGAGGCAGAGCTGAGCTGTGATCACGCCATTACACTCCAGCCTGGGTGACAAGAGGAAGACTTGGTCTCGAAAAAAAAAGTCATTTTACATATTCTAGTAATAGTTTTGTCTTTTTTATTTCCAAAGTATAAACAGTTTTGGAGTGAGGGGGAAAGGGCCCTGATATACTATGAGGAAAACATTCACCTTTTTCCTAGAACTTGTTCTATTTTCAGACATGAGGACTAAAATAGCCTATTATTTCTCTATGTTCCCAGTCCCCTGAGGACATGGCTATAATGTCTTAGGTTATTAAAACTATTTGATTTTCCTCCTTAGTGATTTCTTCTTAAATTCTTGGTTAAACTTCATAACATGATTTGCCCTTGTAATACATGACTCCATAAAAATGATATAATTTTATCTATTATAATGATATCTTATTGTGACATTTGAAAACTTGGAGGTATAATTTAAAATATGCAATAAGAGCACCTGTTTTAAGTGTATAGTTTGATGGAGTATGGCAATTGTACACTCTCATAATCATCAGCGTGGTGATATTTCTGTGTCCTCAGATGGGCTCTGCATGCTCCTTTGCAGTCATTCTCCTCTGGCCCTAAGCCATAAACACATCAGAAACCACTGATGTGCTTTCTGTCCATGTAGATAAGTTTTGCGTTTTCTAGGTCTTCAGTTGAATGGAATCATACGGTGTGTAGTACTCCTTCTGATCTTATTGCTTTTATGCAGAGGAATATTTTTGAGATTTATCCATTTATCCATATACATGGGAGTGTCCATAGTTTAATACTTTTTATTGCTGAGTATTATCCATCGTGAGGACATACCACAATTTGTATATCTACTCACTTGTTAGACATTTGGATTTTTTTCCACTTCTTGGCTGCCATTTTTCCAAGTGGTTGTACCATATTAAACTTGAACTGCAGCATATGAGAGTTCCAGTTGCTCCACATCCTCACCAATATTTAGGATTAACAGTCATTTTATTTTTAGTGGTTCTTGGAGGCATCTCATTGTGGATTTATATTGCATTTCTGTGATTGCTAAGTAACATTTTGCTGATAACTTCTTTTCATGTGTTTATTGTCCATTCAAATATCTTTTTATGAAGTGTTTGTTCATATCTTTTGCCCATTTTTAATTGGGTTGTCTCATTAAATAAATTATGAAGATTTTTTGTATATTCTTCTTGTAAGTCTTTTTGTCAGATACATGCATTCTGGATAGTTTCCCTCCAGTATGTGACTTTATTTTCTTTATATCTTGGGAAGAGCAGAAGTTTTTAATTTTGATTTTAAAAATTCCCCTTACTGAGCTTTAGCAGCATCTGGCTAATCCTATTCTACTTACTCCTCTCACTCTTGTAATATTTTAAAGCAAATTGTAAAATCCTATCATGATTACTATAAGAAACCTTATATGGATATATCCAGTACTCTTTAGAAAACCACAATATCATTATCACACTTTAAAAAATTAACAAAAACATTTCAAAAGATAACAAAAGTGTGTTCACATTTTCATAAATTTATTAATACTTGGTTGAAATCAGGATACAAATCCAAGTAGTAAATCTGATAGATATATCAGTTGAGGGTTTTTTTTGTTTTTTTTTTTTGAGACAGAGTTCCACTCTTGCCCAAACTGGAGTGCAATGGTGCGATCTTGGCTCATTGCAGCCTCCGCCTCCTGGGTTCAAGTGATTCTCCTGCCTAAGCCTTCCGAGTAACTGGGATTACATGTGCTCACCACCATGCCTGGCTAATTTTGTATTTTTAGTTGAGACGGGATTTCACCATGTTGGTCAGGCTGGTCTCGCACTCCTGACCTCAGATGATCCGCCCACCTCGGCCTCCCAAAGTGCTGGGATTACAGTCATGAGCCACCACACCTGGCCAAATATCTTTTCATTAAAAGTTATTTCTCCTTGCATACTAAGAAAAATATTTTTTAAACATTTTTTGTTTTTCTTGAGGAAGTCAGGTGGATGATTTGCCTTGTAGACTTTGTTACATTCTTGGTTTGGCTTATTTCATCCGCAGTGCATCATTTAACTCTGCCTGTTATGCTGATGGTTAGATTTAGAGGCATGATCATGCTACGTTTAACTTTTTGTTTTTTTAATTTAACAAGAACTTTCTATTGCATCATATCAACAAGCACATAATCTTTGGTTTTATTTCCTTGTGATTTTCAGATCGGTTCCATGGTTTAGATGTTATCAGCCTGATCCATCCATTGTAAAATTCCCTTTTATTTATTATCTTTTTTTTTTTTCTTTTTTCCCCTGAGGACATGGCTATAATGTCTTAGGTTACCAGAATCTTCCTCTGTTGCCCAGGCTGGAGTGCAGTGGCATGATCTCAGCTCACTGCAACCTCCGCCTCCCAGGTTCAAATGATTCTCCTACCTCAGCCTCTCGAGTAGCTGGGATTACAGGTGCCTGCCGTGATGCCCTGCTAATTTTTGTATTTTTAGTACAGACAGGGTTTCACCATGATGGCCAGGCTGGTCTTGAATTCCTGATCAGGTGATCCACCTACATAGGCCTCCCAAAGTGCTGGGATTAAAGATGTG